AGATGAAGTACAGGGCAAGGACATTGTTTGTGTTATGTTGTTTTTGTTTCACATAAATCAACAGATGTATAGCCACCCTAGTGACAAGGTAGCGCGCTGGTGAGGCCCAGGTCCTGGGTTCGAACCTTGGCGCTACCTGTTGTTTTTTCACATTTTTCCATTTTCAATTTTTGGCTAGTTTTGCAGGATTGGGCTACAACATTGGGCCTAGTTTTTTTCTAATATAACACCATTTGATTGCTCAGGATACCCCCTAGCCCAACTATTTTTATATTTTTATTTATTTGTTTTATTTTCATTTTTGATTATTAAATATTTTGTTTAATACATAAAAATCCTAAAAAATATAAATATGAAAGTATTGCATTTTATTTTTTTTTATTTTTATTTTTTCATAAAAAATGTATTTTATCTTCAATATATACTAACTATCTTTTTTAAATAAACTTGTAAACATAAATAAAATAGGTTTAGTTTAATTTGTTTATTTTCATTCCATACTTGTAAATATTTATTTTGGCATATATAAAAACTAAATATTTTTATAAAATATTATTCATTATTTTTAATACAAAAATACATAAAAAATAATACATAAGAATTTTATTTTCTTTTAAACTAGAAATTAGTGTTAACTTTATATTTTTAAGAATTAATTTCTTTTCCTTAAAATCATTAGGGTTTAGGTTAAAACATTTTCATATAAAAAACCAAACAAAATATTCTTTATATATACATATATCATTGCATATTTTATTTAAATATTGTATATTGTTTATTCCAATATTTGTACAAATTCGATTTGGTTGTAATAGCTTATTTAAATTTACATTCTTGCAAATCCCCATTCAAATTTGTATTCCCCCCTCCCATAAATTGTTGTAACAGCTTAGTAATCTTTACATTACGCAATTTACTGCTTTACATGCCATGTTAGTAATTAGGGTTTATATGGCAAGATAAAAACAAATCAAATAGAAAACCCTAAATCCAAGACAAAATCAAAGCATGAAAATAACACACTTGTACACAAGCAACTTAAGGGTTTCTCCACTTGGTTGCCTTATACAAAAATGACCATATTACGCATGCGAAGTATCTTGGCAAAATAAACAAATATAAGATCATAGTCCCTCGACGACGCTATTCAAAGTTGCCTTACAAAATGATCTTGGTCCCTCAAAAATGCTAAGATACTTTGCAATATTGCTAACTATGGTTATACGATGACACACGCTCGTCCCGTTTACATCCAAAGATAGGGTTGCTTACCAAATCAATGGTAAGACAACAATGTCAAAGAAATATAAAATGCATAAGAAAGACATTTGAGTAGGTAGATTACTTCTAGTTACTTGCTCTATCTTCAAACAACTATCCTTGCTATTTTCAAAAACAAACACACACATTTCCAAACACTTTTACAAACATTGAAACATTTTCAAAAAGACGAACATCTTTGTATACATTCTTATGAACGAGAATCATTACAAAGATTGCCTAAAAGAATGACCTCTTTTATAAAATACTTTCAAAACCACACCAAACACATTTTCAAATAACAAAAGCAAGTGATCTAGCAAGTAACTAAGAGCCCATGGAAAACCATGGATGAAAAGGGTGCTAATACCTTCCTTTTTCATAATCTACCCCCCGAACTCAAGAAACAATCTCAAAGGTATTTCTTGTGCTTTTTCACCTTTCCTTTTGGATAAAAGAAAAGTCGGTGGCGACTCTTGCTAAACCGCAACATTTGCGATAAAACGCAAAACCCTCAAGTCAGTTCTCCCACCGTATCACAGAACTGGCGACTCTGCTGGGGAATTTAATAAAAGTGGGGTTACCTTAGGGCTAGATCATATTTATTTGCTTACATTGTTTGACTTGTTTGCTTTACATTATGGTTCTTTGTTTAGGTTTGAATCCTCCACCCGGATTTGGGGAAACAGTATAGATAAATAGCAATACGTTGTGGAAACTATGCGAGGTATACCGAAATGGTCTAAGCAATAGATATGCTAGTGTGATATATTTGTGGGTACCGGTAGCCTTTGAGTCAATCAAAGAGAATACGGGGCCGCTGAGTGATGTCATGAAGCACTAATGAACTTCTAGAACCCTTTACTTGACCAACTTGGCATTTAGGATGTACTGAGATGACTAGCTTTGGTGCAGTCCAAAGTTGGTAGATACTAGATACTACACTCATTAAGGGTTGGTTTCTTGGGATATTTCGGTCGCCATTAAAGAGGCTTGAGCTGAAAAAATGACCAAGGAAACAATCCGGTGATATTGAGCTCCTTAGAACCCGGTTACTATTACTAGGACAGGTTTAAGCCAACTAAACTTCAAGAGGGTACTTACCTATAAAACCCCATGCAAGACTAAACTAAGAACTTGTTTGTTTTGCTTGTATATATATACTTGTGCATAACATCATGGGCATCATGAACATCATATGCATTCACTAACCATTTCAAGGATTTTGGAGGTTCATCTTTGTTCTTGTTTTGTAGGATATGGATTCACTTTGCAGGAAAACTATCCAAGTCAACCTTGTAAGAATTCCTCCATAACTTAAGGAGCTAGCTTCAAGGATCCGTGAGAACTCTCCATTCACCGAGAGGTATGGTCGTGTACTCAACTTGGTCACCTCCAACACAGATGAGGACATAATGAAGGTGCTCTTCCAGTTCTTTGATCCTTTGCACCATTGCTTCACATTTCCCGACTATCAGCTTGTGCCTACTTTGGAAGAATTCTCTCAACTCTTGAGGATTCCCATTCTCAATCAACTACCTTTCAATGGTATGGAAAGAGACCCAAATCCAGAAGAGATTGCTCAAGATCTGCACTTGCACTCATCTGATGTTACAACTCATTGGGAAACTAGAAGTGGTGTCAAAGGCTTCTTAGCAAAGTTTCTGTTTAAGAAAGCCCAAAGCTGTTGGAATTCCTTAGACTTGCAAGCTTTTGAGGAAATTGTGGCTCTTCTTATCTATGGGATGGTCTTGTTACCCAATCCTGACCAACTCATAGATGTGAGTGCCGTCAAAATCTTCATATCATGCAATCTGGTGCCTACATTGCTAGGTGATATCCTGCACTCTTTTCACACTCGTACAATGAGGAAAAGAGGTGTCCTTATGTGTTACACTCCTCTCCTGGAAAGATAGTTTATTTCTCATCTTCCCCAATAAATTTTAAAGAATCGGCAAGGTTCTAGGTGGTCACGAAGGTTAATGACGCTCAAACATTCAAATATTCATTGGTGCTCCCGATCCAAAGAGAATGTTATCATTGTTAACCATTGTGGGGAATTCCCTAATGTCCCTCTACTTGCAATTAGGGGAGGCATCACCTACAACCCATGCTTAGCTCTAAGACAGTTTGGTTATGCCCGAAGGGATGGCCCGCACGAGATACTTATCCAAGGCTTGGTATTCGACTACAACAACAACGATCAGGGTCTTCACCAGAGATTCATCCGAGCTTGGAGGATGCTAAACAAGGTGGATAGCAAGACTTTAGGACACAAGAATTCCATCCCCCTTGAGCCTTACCTCAAGTGGGTATGAACTCGCGCTCAAAGTCTTATGATGCCTTATCCTTTAATTCTCCCGATGATCATTGAGCCTGTTAAGGAAGGAGAAGTTCCATACACTATCCTATATCTTGACATGCCCACATATCTTGAAGACCTACAAATGGATTGGATACAACTCAAAGGAGAGCGAGATACTTTCGAATCCCAATTCTACGCAAGCGAGAAGAAGGTTTTGGAACTTACTAGGTGTAGCAATAAAAAATGTAGCGGGGTAAATCGGAGATCGAATTATTAATTAATTCGTCTCACAAAATCAAGAGTCGCCACCGCACTTTATTATTTCCAAGGGAAAAGGGGAAAGAGCGAAATAAAACCCTAAAGTATGCAATGTAAAATTACTTTTAAAAGTAATGAAAATACAAGGCGTTTTTGAAAAGAGGTCTAGAGTTCGGGGGTTGGTTATACAATGGGAAGGTATTAGCACTCAATGTATCTATAGTATTCTATAGGAACCTTTTGAAATATCTGTTTATTATAAAAATGTTTGTTTGATTAAAAATAAATTGTTTGGCCAAAGATGGGTATTGGACGAGTTTTCGAAAATACGACGACCTAACGTCGAAGTTTTGACTTAAAAGGTGTCAGTTTGAAAAAAAATGAATATTTGGAAAAATTATCTTAAGTTTTTTTTAACAAAAATAATAGAACGGAAGATGAATGAGGGTATTCGCGCTATGTGTTTTTGATGACATGAAGTCGACAAAATTAAACAATTCCCTTGGATTTGAGACGGACGAGAGATATGCGGATTAACGATCGATTAATATACTAGCATACATTTTAACGATTAAATAAATAATAATAAAAAAAGTACATGAAGATTAAAATTACGAAATCATAGATTTTAAACACATAACAAAAATTAACTCATGAAACATGTATTTTCGAATAATACAACACAAAATAAAAATAATAGTATGTTGACAAAAATTAAAGATGAATTTTAATTAAACGTTTTTATGTGTTTTTATAATAATTACTAATTAAACAGCAAATTAAATTAATTATACCAAGTATGTTACATATTATGGCCAAAAGAAATAAAAAAATAGAAAAGTGTCCCAACAAAGACTTGAACCCAGGACCCTTAGAATGCTGCTAACACCTTTTACCAATTGAGCCAATGCTGTTTATTCATTAATAGCACGAGTTAAATAAAAGATAAGGAAAAAATGAAATTTTGAAAATGGACTAAAAAGGCCCAATGGGCCACCGGGTCAAAGGGAAGAAAAATAAAAAAAACTGAAACCCTAATGTTGTGAAGGGAGGGCGACGGCTGCCACTTGCAAGCATGGGGGAAAACAAAAAAATAATTATATTTTATTATGTTGGGAATAGAAAAATAGTAATATTATTATTATTATTATTAAGTTAATGAAACAAAAACAATAACAAGAACCTTGTAAAAACAACAACACACGGTTATACTTCCTCTCTCTCTATTCACAGTAAAACCCCTTTCTTCCTCTCCCTCCAAGATCCGATTTCGTCTCTCTCTTTCTCCCACACCACGAATCCGACTTCCTCTCTTCTTCTCAGGTCCGAACCACTTCCATCTCTCACGCATAGAAACTTTTTCCGAACTCTCTTCTTCTCCTCTCAAAAGATTCGTCTGCCTCCTCTCTCAACAAGAAAAAAAAAGGTCCGTCCCTTCCCTTTCTCTTCACCATCAGATCCGGCCATTACTCCTCCATTGCTGAACATACGGCCCACTCACTTTCAGTCCAGATGCCATCTCCAGAAAAGACTCTGTTTTAGCGGAAAACAAAAATGGGTAGATTTGAATCTGAGTTTTCCTTTTACGATTTCTATTTGGGTCATTATTTCTGATTTTTTTGTTGTACTGAAAAACGTGGGAATTTGGTACAGGTTAGCGTTTTTTTTTAAGATTACAGCAAAAAAAAATTCTGGATTTTAAGAACAAACAGTTTTTTTAAAAATATTGGGATAAAAGGTTTTTTTTTTTTAGATTAGAACAGCAAAAAAAATTTAGATCTTGATATGGAATAGTAAGATATTTTAAATATTCTAACAAAACATATTTTTTTTAAAATATGGAACAACAATGTATATATATTTAATATTTGTAACAAAACATATATTTTTTTAAATATTGTACAGCAATATATATATATATATATATATATATATATATATATATATATATATATATATATATATATATATATATATATATATATATATATATATATATATATATATATATATATATATATATATATATATATATATATATATATATATATATATATATATATATATATATATATATATATATATATATATATATATATATATATTTTAATATTAAGAACAAAATAGTTTTTTTTTTTTAATTTGTAATAGCAACATATTTTTTTTAAATATTATGACAGCAACATATTTTTTTTAAAATATTATGACAGCAACATATTTTGGTTTTTGATATTATAACAAAATGGTTTTTTTTTAATTATTCAGATTAAATAGTTTTTTTTTTTATTATTTGTATTTTGTAACAGCAAAAAAAACAAGCTTTTTTTTGGACAGCAACAGCAAAAAAATAGTTTTTATGGATTTTAAGATTTTTAGAACAACAAAATATTTTTTGGTTATTTGGAACAACAAAGGTGTTTTTATTTTATTTTGGAACAGCAAGCTCTAAACAAGTTTTTGGGACAGCAAAGGCATTTTTGGACAGCAAAGTAAGCTTTTATTGCACTTATTATTATTATCAATATTATGAATACTAACATGTTCAAATATTAACATTTATGCAGCAAATCAATTTAAATACAGTACAACAATGGCAAGGCAAAATATTCCATGGCAAAGAAAAATGATACAGCAAGTGATTCAAGTATGAACATATGCAACAGTAGATAAAGAAGAGAAAAAGAATATACCTATCGGAGCCTCTCCGATGGGGCTTCTAACAAAAATGGTAAGCTTCTTTGACTTTGCTATCTTTTCCCCTTGCTGGATTTTTTTTAGAACAACACTAATTTTCTGGTTTTTTCTACTTGCTGAAACTTTAGAACAACACTAATTTTCTGTTTTCTTTAACTGCTGAATTTTTTCTTCTCCTTCTTGTGTTGACAAAAGATCTTATTTATAGTGGAGTGTGGAGGATTTGAGGGGGGGAAACAGTAGAAATTCAAACTGTTTTGGCAAACTGCTTCTACACTTTGTTCTCACAAATTGCTTTAGCCATTTTCATACAAATTGTTGTTACATTGATGCAGGTTGGAGCAGGTTTTTGGCAGCACTTGGAGCTGCTGTATGTTGCTGTTTTTTCTGTTTTGTAGCATTTTACAACATTTCTCTTTTGCTGTTTTTTTCAGGTTATTTGGAGCATTTTTTGACCAACAAAAATGCAACAAAATGGGCTTGAAGAAAGGTTGCAAACATGGGCTGCACTAGCACTTTGCTGAATTTTTTCATGTTGAACATAAATCTTGTACACACTTGTAGCTTCTTGTAACCTTGTGATAAACTCCAATAAATTGTAACATTGAATAAATATGCATTCTTCAATATATTTTCCATTCTTTGATAGTTATGAATAATCTTGAATATTCACATAAACATGAATCTTGATATATCTTGATAAAAATTCAAGATCTTCCATTTAAATTTGGGAAACAATTGAATAATATTTGGATGAATTGTTGAGTGAAGAATAAATAATAAAGCAAGTCTTGGACTTTAATCTTGCACTTGTAATAGAAATCCAAATAAATCACATGGATTAATTTTGTAACCAAATAAAATTCCTCATGTAATTAAATAGAATTCCCCACTGACTTCTTGAAATAATACTTCAATGTATTTAAATAATCATGATGTAGATCCTCCAAAATAATCACAAGAATAATCTTGAATGAATATTCCATGTGATAAATGAATATCCTTGAATGAAATCTCTTGGATTCAAATAAAGAAAATTCCAAATATTTCGAATATTCCGAATAAATTCTTCTAGAACAGTTGTGAATTTAATTATCCCATTTCGACGAAATTCAACCCGCGTCGTGAGAAAATTTGCAGATGACTTTTAGTCCAAGAAATCGAAAATGACGGTATAACCTGTTTTTCCTTGCATTTTAGAACAATGTGAAACACACATGAAATAAAGCCGGTAGAATTTTGACTGTTCTTCCTGAAAAATATTCGGAGAAAACGGAGACCATTTGCCGGACAGAATGTGGAAATAAACGCACAATTTTCGGAAATTCTTTGATGAACCAGTCTTTTGGAAATTAACGAACGACAACATTTCTGTTCTGAGAATCGAAATCCTGATCGACGTACAACGTCTAATGCTCTTCTTTCAGACCTATTTTCTGCACATGAAAATAAAACAGCAAAACATGCACTTCGTGCTTGATTAGTGGTTAGTCATTCACAAGATAAAATACCCACAACACTCGATAATCTCTACACAGTCAAAGCTCGAAAGCGAAATGTTCGAAACCTACCATATTCTGTGACCTTGATGTGTATGAAAAATAACGCAAATGAAGCAGGGATCTTAGGTCAAAAATTGGGGTATGACAGCTGCCCCTATTTAAGTTTCTTCTATTCGGAGATATGAAGATTAAAATCTTCGTCTCGACGAGATTGAAGGTACTTAAATACATAATGCGCAATTTTTGCCCTAAGATACCGCCATTATGTTTATGATATGGATGTAGTATTTAAATTCATGGAGAATGATACTGTATGAGACAAAAACAATGTTGGAGAAACCAAACACCAACAAACCACAGGAACATAGATTATACACTATTGGGGAAATGAGCCATCGACTTCGAATGATATACTCTTGACATCGAATAAAATTTGAGAGAATACGACCTCTGACCCTAACAAAGAAGGCATCTTGCATAGGCCACAAAAACAGATTATCGACCCAAAATAACGGTGAGTTCACATCTCAAGGTCAACGATAGACAAAAGATGTATCAATTTTGCTGATAATGGACTACCAACTTCTGAAGGCAAAGATTTCATAACGAGCCTCTCTGCGAGATTTTTCCAGAGGGATACCAATTAATGCTGAAATAATAATATGGTTGTAGATACACAAGCTGCTCAAATAAAGAAGCTTCCACTTGCTGTCGTTCAAAGATGTCAATAACATACAAGCTGCTCAAATAAAGAAGCCGCCACTTGCTGTCTTTCAAAAATACTATAACATACAAGCTTCTCAAATAAAAAGCCGCCACTTGCTGTCGTCCAGGGATGTCAATAACATACAAGCTGCTCAAATAAAGAAGCTGCCACTTGTTGTCTTCCAGGGATGTCAATAACATACAAGCTGCTCAAATAAATAAGCCGCCACTTGCTGTTTTCCAAAAAAAATACTAATAACATACAAGCTGCTCAAATAAAGAAGCCGCCACTTGCTGTATTCCAGAAAAAATAACGCACAAGTTTCTCATGAAGAGACCGCCGCTTGTCATTTTCCAAAAATAATAATAACGCACAAGTTGCTCATGAAGAGACCGCCGCTTGTCGTTTTCTAACGATGTCTATAACGTACAAGTTGCTCATGAAGAGACCGCCGCTTGTCGTTTTCCAAAAATAATAATAACGCACAAGTTGCTCATAAAGAGACCGCCGCTTGTCGTTTTCTAACGATGTCTATAACGTACAAGTTGCTCATGAAGAGACTGCCGCTTGCCGTTTTCAAAAAATAATAATAACGCACAAGTTGCTCATGAAGAGACCGCCGCTTGCCGTTTTCCAAAAATATTTCAGAAGAAAGTTGCGATAACACTGCCAGAGAATAAAATTCTTTTTCAAAGGGAATCATGAATAGATCCTTCCTGAGGAGGCAAATACTTAAATGTGCAAAATAAATGCACCATTCATCTAGGTTGTTTAGCATGGAGAAAACCACGAGATAGCCTATGCAAGAGACAAAAAACTCCCTCCAGGAATAAACCAGAGAGAAGACAGTCAAACAAGACTCCACCCAATGAGAAAATAACTTAATTGGGGATTCATCCTATCCAGAAATGGACAAGGAAGGCTAAATCAAAAATTCATCTACGAGGATTAGCTCAGTTGGGGAATTTAGAAAGGAAGCACATTTTCTGCCTAAGTTAACATTCTACTTGGAAAGAAACATGTACGCTGTTTGAATAAACAAAGTATACAACCCAAAATCAACGACAAATGTGAATATGCATGGGTGATATAAGTGTAAATGAGTAAATGAATGTTATGCTGACAAAACAAACAGATGGAATATCTTGAAGACGATAAGATGTCACGAAATAATAGATACTCGGCCAATCTTAAAAAGACGGAAAATAACTGGAACTGGAACCACAAAGCAACGTCAGAGCGTATCACGCTACAAGGCTCAAGTCTTCTGAGGAGAAAAGTATTCAAATCCAATCTTCTAATACCAATAGACCACTGGCATGATACAAAACATACCACACTTCAGAAATCTGCTCAAATAAAGATAACTGAAACACAACTTAACTGGAAATGCTGGGGAGTCACCAAGCTTAGTACCACGAGAAACGCAAGTTTACACAACCAACACCTCATGACGATTTTGAAAGAAAATATGTTCATCATGCAAGGATAAATTACTGTATTGTTTTGCATTTCATGGCTTGACCATCCTTGGAACAACTGTTAATATTCCTTTCAGTATTCAACGACACATTAAAAATAGGAATGCGTTAAATAGCTTTGTTTCAATTATTTCCGTAAAAGCTGAAATTTTGCCCACAAAAAAGATAAATGCTCAAAATTTCATTAATAGGATGGTAGTTCGCTAACAATGCGACTCCAATGGTTTACAAATTTTTTTTGGGAAATAGTACATGAGAGAAAAAGGTTACACAAAAATAATGATCACTATTCTCCCTAACCACTTTGAATTCCGAAATGTGCTCAAATGCCAAGACTGGTCTGACCAAAAGCTTGCCTAAGCCGCCCTTTCGGGTTTTCAACTTAGCAAACTGTCAACTCAAACCTAAGCGAAATATTTCTTGACTGCATCGGCGTTCATGGAGCGCGGGAGCTCTTCACCGCCCATATTTGTGAGAATCATGGCACCTCCAGAGAAAACTTTCTTAACGACATACGATCCTTCATAATTCGGAGCCCACTTGCCCCTAGAATCAGGTTGGAAAGATAATATCTTTTTGAGCACAAGGTCACCTTCTCTGAACTCACGTGGTCGAACCTTCTTATCAAAAGCCTTCTTCATTCTCTGCTGATATAATTGACCGTGACACAATGCTGTCAATCTATTTTCTTCAATTAAATTCAACTGATCATATCTATTTTGACACCATTCAGCCTCAGAAAGTTTAGCTTCCATCAACACTCTCATAGACGGAATCTCAACCTCCACGGGGAGTACTGCTTCCATACCATAAACTATGGAAAATGGGGATGCGCCTGTTGAAGTTCGAACTGAAGTACGGTATCCATGCAGGGCAAACGGAAGCATTTCATGCCAATCTTTATAAGTTACCACCATCTTCTGGACAATCTTTTTGATGTTCTTGTTAGCAGCTTCAACAGCCCCATTCATCTTCGTTCTGTAAGGAGAAGAATTATGATGTTCGATCTTGAACTCCTCACAAATCTCTTTCATCATCTTGTTATTCAAATTCGAACCATTATCAGTGATGATCTTGCTCGGGATGCCGTATCGACAAATGATCTGATTCTTGATAAATCTGACTACCACCTGTCTGGTTACATTAGCATAAGATGTTGCTTCCACCCATTTAGTAAAATAATCGATCGCTACCAAGATGAAACGATGACCATTTGAAGCTTTGGGTTCAATCATTCCAAT